CTAGAGAGAGAGAGAGAGAGAGAGAGAGAGAGAGAGAGAGAGAGAGAGAGAGAGAGAGAGAGAGAGAGAGAGAGAAAGAGAGAGGAAGAGACAGAGACAGAGACAGAGACAGAGACAGAGACAGAGACAGAGACAGAGACAGAGACAGAGACAGAGACAGAGACAGAGACAGAGACAGAGACAGAGACAGAGACAGAGACAGATACAGATACAGAGACAGAGACAGAGACAGAGACAGAGACAGAGACCGACAGAGAGAGACGCAGAGAGGGAGAGCCCCCGTTAGGCAGCATACAAGTCCACACGACAAGAATTACAGAACCACAGAAAATACGGTACCCCGAACAGACAATTCGCGGTAACCGCCGGAATAGACAGTACCTCGCACCAATCTCCGTTCATAACTTTATCCGAGAAGGACTTCGACTACATGTTGGGGTGGTCAAACCTCCACGGTCCATTTCTCGGCCCATAGTTCGTGTCTACGTAGATGCTTCCCTATCTTTCCGGTAATAATAAAACATCAACGGATTCACTCGATCATCATGAATCAGCCACCCCGTGCTTCTTGTGTAACTCTCATCACCATGTCTGTCGTCCCTGTCAAGTGCAAAGGTGTTGCAGTGTCCACACTCGTTATTCAAGCCAAGCTCTTGCTACCGTGATCGCACATCGCCAACGGACACAAATGCCAAGTTACTGTTGGGCCTTGCAATGCACGAGCTACCCGTGCTTCAACTACGAGGGCAGCACGACGGGATTGTACTGCAGACAACATGCCGAGGAGTCCATGGTGGACGTCGTGCACAGACGTTGTGCCTACGGTGAAGGGTGCACGAGGCGACCAAATTTCAATGACGAGGGAAGCCAGAGGGGGATGTACTGCAGACAACATGCCGAGGAATCCATGGTGGACGTCATGAGCAAGCGCTGCGCCCACGCTAGATGTATGAAACAGGCGCACTTCAAGCACGAGGGCACCAAGCGAAAGGTGTACTGCAGACAGCATGCCGAGAAGGACATGGTGAACCAGAAGATCAAGAAATGCTCCCACTCTGAAGAGTGCACGAGTCACGCAAGTTGGGGGTACTGGTCGGACGGGAAGAGCAGTGTATGCGCCAAACATAAAGTTGACCTCGTGGACGGGCTATCGATCAACTATAACCGAAAGTGCGAGGTTGCCGGTGTAAAGGGGTGCGTACGACGGGTAAAGTGGGGGGTTGACGGCGAGCAGCCGACTCACTGCGACGAGCATGGCGCACCGAGGGCCGGCAAGGGCTTCGTCCGCATCCCAAGGGGCCGCAGGGGACGTGCGTCCTCTTCCTCATCGGGCATGTCGTCGACCAGGCACTGCACCACCGAATGTGGAAGGAGAGAAGGCCACGACGGGGGTGGCGCCAAGAAAGCCTGCAAGGCCGTGCCCCGCCGCCAGGTTGGGATGCTGTCGGAAGAGGGGCAAGGGTCAGGCGACGACGACGGCCATGTCGTCAACTCCGTGGTTGGTGAATAGCCGGGGAGGTCGATGAAGACGAAGGTGGGGAAGAAAAGGCGGAACTACCAAACAACGCGAGATAATGATGAGCGTCCATCGCCGCCGTTCCTTTTTCGTGTACCCTTCATCTTATCAACACAGCCAGCGCGGCGTGGCATTCAGCTATATGTTCGTCCTCCTAGGATTACTCGGAAGTCAGTGAAGCCTGTGAATTGACGAGCCGTTCGGGCTTGATGTCCCACCTATGGTATATGCTTAGGCAACAGGGGTGACGCGCTGCTTCCTTGGGCATCAAGGTGATCGTGTTTTTGTGTGATTTGCGGCAATAGAAGGGGTGAGGTCAGCGTCGATAGTTTTTTTGTGTGATTGTGGTGGAAGGGGTGGGGTCAGCGCCCGCTTTAGAGAAGCAGGTTCGTGCCGTTAGTAGTTTTCCCCGTGTCTCCGCCGCTGTTGTTGTTTGGCGTTAAAGAGCGCACTCATTTTCCCTGACCGGTCAATGCGCTGTTTCCTGCACAGGCCGTGTTACTGCGCCTAATATATATCGTTTCGGCTACTACGCGATAGGATCCAGAATAGCCCAGCGACGCAGCAACGCGCGAGGTCCTGTCCCGTGTTGATTGAAGCCTTGTAGGGCGAGGAACTGGTGGTGGTGGTGGAAAGTGGCTTCCTTACCCCGTCGATGACGTAGTAAACTGCTCCGCGTACGGAATACACCCAGTGAGTGCGAAAACACCAACTACTCATCAACAGGGTTATTTTATTTGCCCCCCCCCCCCCCCCCCCCCCAAAACATTAGACAAAAA